ATTTTTTCTTTTTGAGGGTGGAGGTGGGGTTTAGTTGGTTGGTGGTTGATGTTGTCATGAACTAGGAAACATGAAAAAACATATCTTTAATATAACATTTAAAATAACTCAAAAATTGCTTTTAAGAGTATTTAAGTTGAGCACGAAGAGTCATAATTTTCGTTAAAGAAAATCAACATATTAGAAGTAGGAACATAAAAAAATCAAAGAAATTCAACACACACATTTATTTTTGGCCCTTTGTTTATATAATATAGTTTTTTATTAACAAACAATATCAATAGAGTACAAAAGCTAGCCTTAGCTTATATTAGATGAGTTGCGAGTAGGATGTCAAACGGAAGAATTAAACAATATTTGTACTTATTGAAATAGGTCGAATCAATAAAAAAAAATCTATAATAAAAAAAATAAGGAAAAATTACATGAATAAATACATTTTTAAAAATAGTTACTGATTTTAGCGATACTTTTTGTTTATTATCATTTATAACAATATTGTGATAAATCTGTAATATGTATTAAAAGTGAATTATGTATGCAATATATTTGAATTATAATTGTTTTTAAAATATATTACGTTTGTTTAGTAAAAAATTGTCACATTGTATTATAAGTGTGTGATAAATGTATTATCCATCATTAAAATTTGTAGTTTATTTGATAATAAATTTATCTTTGTAATATAGATTAAACTTGTATTATAAATGAATTAAAAGTGATCAAGTGAAAAAAAATTATTGCTATAAATGATAAATATTTTTTTATTATAGTATATTTACGTAAGTTTTCCAAAAAATAATTAGTTGGATCAAAATAGACATGTTAATTTGAGCCAAATAATTAGTCAATAATTTAACCAATCCAACTAAACATTTACTTCTCATTTATTTGCTTTTATAATCCGTTTAATTACCTAATCCAACCAATATATTTCTTTTACCATGATTTACGACTATATCAAATAAATCAAAACGAAAAACAATTATTTACTTTGTATGTTTCGCTACGTTTGTATACGAGACGATTTGGGCTACGTATGCAAATTAAGTTGGCTCAAACTTATAAATGAGCTAATTTGGGCCAGGCCCAAAATAACTTTGATGGGCTTATCCAGTTATTGAAAGACAAGAATTGCACCTGATGGCCAGTTTTTATCCTACTATTTAAACCATGTTCAATTTTTTTTAAATGAAAGTCATTTTACATAGTGGAAAAAGATAAAATATATGTTCGAATTATCATAAATGGTATGCATATCTTCTTTGTCATGCTTTTGGGATATTGGTGTCTCTGTCGTCCAAAAATTGGAGCACATATGTCCTTCACTCTAACGAAAGACTAAATCATGGATCCGATATTTAATAAATGTCCAGTTAGTGGATAAGATTATGACACATATATGTCCATAAGTATAAATGATATATATGCTCTAGTTTTTGAACGACAAAGGCACTAATGTCTCAAAAAATATGACGAAAGATATATGCATACCATTTACGATAATTTATGTGTATATTTGTCATTTTATAACCATTATTGATAAACTTTTAACCATTTTGTACTATATATGTTGTATTAATAAAAAAAATGTTGTATTAATTATTAATAATAATATACATTTAAATCACTATTATTGGCGATCTATCAAAATTTGTGAATAATTTATATCGAATTATTTAATATTATTTCACATTATCTATACAAAGGTGCATTTTATGACAACATAACGTACAAATTAATTATAACACACATATCCTCTATCCTATTAGCTGTAAACACTATTGGTTCAAAATTTGGTAAGTATTTGCTATACGTAAAAGTTATTGTACTATAAATTCACTCATTAATAATTTTATTACTTCAAAATGTTCGTCTCTTTTAATCATACACATAATATTTGGGATAGTTTGACTTATTGAGACAAATGGTTATAATTAATAAATTAAATTAAATATTTTATGTGATTACGTATAAAAAAATGAGATAAAATATTTTTTTTCTCAAAATCTTGAAAGTATCATTGGCTCAATAAAACACATTCACCGGATACTACAAGACTTGCATAAAATTTTAATTATGTATCAATTCGTGTTGTTTTAATTTTTTTTTTCAATCAGAATATATATTGAGTTATTCTAATAATATAACTTTTGGTCGATTAAAGAACAATTTGTGTTGGAGTGATAAATAGGAGAATTAGAAAGTCAAATATTTAGAATAAAACTTACATATGGTAAGTATAACAAAAAAATATGTCTAGTGGCAATAAACGTCATTCATGCAGTGATAGAATAATAAATATTTTTTATTCTTAATTAGTGATCTCAAAATTTGAGCTTATCCGTGTTTATACAATTCAGCTCCGAATTTTCTATAACAAATCAAGATATAGTCAAACTCCAATATAGATACTAATTATCAAACTAAATTAAATAGATATATATAAAAAATGAATAATAATAACAATAATAATAATAATAATAGACGTGTTTCCATAGCTCTAAACGATCCCCACTTGCTGTATTTTAAACTTGTAAATAGCTGTATCCACATCCTAATTGCCAATCACTTCTTGATAAATACTATTCCGTACTTTTGTTTCAATTTATTTATTTCGATTACTATTTAAATCGTTAAAATAATCTTCCTTTGATCTTAACCTTTTTAAATACTTTCTGAATATTTTAAAATTCTTAATTATATATAGTGACTTAGCTTATTGAACTTCTTATGAAATTTGTAGTTAATTTATTTTAAAAACTTTGACAACTTTATGTCGAATTCATACCAAATATTAGTTAATAAGTTTGACCTTCATTCTACAAATCAAGTTAAACAAATTGAAACAGAACGAAAACTCACAAATTATTACTAAAGTTACTATACAACAACAAGATACACCACATAATTCCACGTGTTTGTAGATCTTATCTGTCTCAGGAGGATAGAATGATTGTTTTCGATAAATTCTTCGTTTAAAAAAAAACTATTTGAATCATAGTTATAAGAAAATATGACAATAAATAGCAAGATACAAAGAAATAAAACATGTATATATTTAATATATATATTAAAGCATACAACTATTAACCTTTTGTCCGCATCACATATCGATTATAATTATAATTCAAATAATAGAGCTCTAATACCCATTTAAAGGTTATTTCTCAGATATTTTTTTTCCAAGGTCAAAGGTATGTGTACTTGCAAATTGCCGTACGTTGATTTTGTCCTTGTAGAGTAGGTAGAAAAAGACTTGTGATTAGGATTTTTTTTAAAAAAATATTTTGTATACCTTATATTGAATATGACACATAATTTTAATGATCATATATATTGATAAATTAAATAGAGGCGGGGTTAAAATTTTAATTTTTATGAGTTTGAAATTTTTAAATAATGACTTCAAGTGATAATGATGGGGTTTTAAATTTAATAATTGTAGTTATTTAATAATTTTCTTAATATAAATATATTAATTTTGCAAAAGCTACTGGATCAAATTCGTATCGAGACTTTTAGCTCCACCCTTGTCAGCATAAATCAGTTAACAAGGTCAACTCATGATGATCCGTAAGCTTTAGCATGTTTTACATATAATTAATTGGTAATTAGTTGAACCAATCTTATAAGTCACTCATAATTGTTAGGATCGAAAATAAGCAGGTGTAATATGGAAGTAACAAAGAAAATCTCTACAGATTACGAGTAAGAAGACAAACGAGAAATATACCAAAAGATACAGAAATTTAACGTGACTTGATCAATCGATCTACGTCCACAAAGGAGATGAGTAATCCACTATAAATATGAGAGTACAAAATTCAGAGTGAAACAATCTCAACCAATTCACTCGAATTACATGGGATGTTCACACAAATGATAATGTATCAAGCCTGTGACTCAAAAATTCTCCCCCTAACCAAAACTCTCAAAGCCTTTAAGACTACATTATTAACGCTAATTAAATTAGAATGAACAAACCTCTATTTATAGAGCCCTAAACTTTTTCATACCGAAAAAAGAATTAGTCAATTTAAAATATTTTTCTAAAAGGAAAACTTTTTTATGATAAGAAATCAGGGCAAATAATACCCAACAATAATAACTATTAATTAACAATAAATACTTATGTTATTGCGGCAAATAATGTTTTAAATAAAATTCCGGTGTTAAAATGAAGGCAAAAGGAAGGGGAAAAAAAAAGAAAAAAACATTGTGTAGGCATATTAGGATAAATATGATTAGGAATGAATTTATATTGGGAAAGGTCGGAGAGGCTTTCATGAACAAATGATAAAAGTGAGACTGAAATGATTCGGCTATGTGAAGGGGAGATGCGGCGAACGCATCAATAATGAGTTGCAATATGTTGATTACAAGAGTTTGGGGTTTGGGGATTAATTAGACAGGACATGAAATAACTTCAGGTTAATAATATAGCCTCTCTCCTAATATATGTAATATTCTTTCTTTTTAAAAAAAAATCACATTTCCATAATTAGAAAAAAAAATCCATTTTACCCTTTAATTAAATGATTTATACTGACAACTTAAATATCTCAAATTTGTTTTTGACCCTAAATTTGAAAATATACTTTATTTTTTCTGAAACTTTCTGACGTCAAATGATATAAAGCAGTATTATTGATACGCCCAAAGGTTCTCAATAAACCATGTCAAAAGGAGAAGGCCATAGAGATAATATATCTAATTATCAATTAGGATTAAACAAAACAAGAATAATTAACAATTAAACACAACTATTTTATATAGTGGACATTCTTTAAGATTCCTTATAATTAGGATCCTTTGGGATATACCATAAGGTTACATTAACCATTTGGAATCTCCATTGGTTAACTTAAACCCCTAATTTGTCAACTCTTTTTTACCTATATAAACCCCACCTAAATCAATTTCATAAAATTAAAACACATCCCTAATTACTCACTAATCTTGTTTAATTATCATTTTAATCACTTTTTTGTTTTTTTGCCTAAAATGGGTGATATTGAAGGATCACCAGGAAGTTCAATGCATGGTGTTACTGGTAGAGAACCAGTTCTTGCATTTTCAGTTGCTTCACCAATTGTACCAACTGATACATCAGCCAATTTCAAAGTCCCTGTTGATTCTGAACATAAAGCTAAAGTTTTTAAATTTTATTCGTTTTCGAAACCTCATGGACTAACGTTTCAACTCTCATGGATTTCATTTTGTACTTGTTTCGTATCGACTTTTGCTGCAGCCCCTTTAGTCCCTATTATTAGGGACAATCTTAATTTAACTAAAATGGATGTTGGTAATGCTGGAGTTGCCTCTGTTTCGGGTAGTATCTTGTCTAGGCTAGCTATGGGCGCGATTTGTGACATGTTAGGTCCTAGATATGGTTGCGCGTTCCTTATAATGTTATCAGCCCCAACTGTTTTTTGTATGTCTTTT